GAAAAGGTCACAAGAGAGTCTCTTGTCTCAGGCTCAGCCTCCAAGTTTGTGCAGGATCTGGAGAAGCTGAGAAATGGAGTTGTCTTTTCTTTTGGGGGTGAGGGTGGGAGGCTTCTTGGCACTAGTAGTGTAAGACACTGGCTTTGATCTGACCTAGGTTTTTGAAATGCAAAGTCCCTCTTTTTGTGTAATTTCTCCTACAAGTCTCCAACCCCTTCCAGCAAGTTCAACAGGAAACCATCTGCTGTCTCTTGGCCAATCCTAGTGCACAGTGAGGTCTCCAATCACCAGGGGAAGGGAGTGGGAGGGCCAGACCCCTGCTTAGCAGGATGAGAAACAATGGCTAATTCATGGGAAAAGAGGCCATTTAGCCTGTGAGTTGAAAGGAACCCCTGCTGTTCTCCCCAACACACACATATTCAAGGGGACCACAGGGAACAGGGAGAGAATCAAAGATGGGGGTAACTTTTGTTTTTGGAGTGTAGGGGACTGAGGCAGAGGGGGAACAGTAAGAGCTGGCACAAATGTACAGAGGGGAAGAAGACAGATGCTTTCATGCCAGGAGGGCCACATGGCTGTACGGAATTACATAAAATAGCACCAGGGACCAGTTTCATGGAGTACAATTTTTTCCAGAGACCAAGTCGGTGGTGGGGTTTCAGGATGAAACTGTTCCACCTCGAGGAGCTTGCAACCTAGATCCCTCGCATGCTCAGTTCACACTAGGGTTCGCGGTTCCTATGAGACTCTAATGAGACGGCAGATCTGACAGGAGGTGGAGCCACCACTGCTCACTTCCTGCCCTGCGGCCGGTTCCTAACAGGCCATGTACCAGTCCCGGTCCGCGGCCTGGCTTTTGGGGACCCCTGATGTTAAACATCCCTCTCTTCCTTTTCCCTGGGAGGTGATGACTGACTGCAAGAAACCTTTGCACGTGACTTCCTTCTAACCCTTCTTTCTGTTGGAACAGTGTCCTGGGAGATGAAGTCATTGGAATCTGGCCACGAAATGCAGACAAAGCTGATGTCAACTGCGCATGTGTGACCCACGCTGGCCTGAACATTGTCACAGGAGATGACTTTGGGCTGGTGAAGCTCTTTGATTTTCCGTGCACAGAGAAATTTGTGAGTCTTCCTCAGAGTAACCTTTCTGCAGGTTCTCTGTTTTGCCGTCTGCAAGAGATAGGGGCCACATCTAGATGAACCTCTGGGAGACACAGAGAAACCCTGTCCCAGTACTGTGGAAATATGGCAATGACTTTTTCACCTCCTGGAGGGGCAGTCCTGGAAGCCAGAAGGGAGGATGGAGGGTGGATAAAATGGCCAGAAGTGGGGCAAGGATGAGAGGCAGGAAAGTCAGCCAAAGGCTGGCTAATAGATGAGTCCAGACCAAATGGGAGTCCCCAGTGAAGGTTGGTTCTGGGACAGGGGATTTGAGTGCTGGAAGTAGCCTGTGGTTGCTGAGAGGAGCCAGGGTCTCTTAACCATCTCCATTCACTTTTGCTCACAGGCCAAACATAAGCGATACTTTGGTCACTCAGCTCACGTGACGAACATCCGTTTCTCTTATGATGACAAGTATGTGGTCAGCACTGGAGGAGACGACTGCAGGTACTAACCTAGCTGACCCAGTTCTTACTCCCCAGGCCTGGCCAGCTCTCCCTCCCCATCTCAGGCGTGCTGTGAGTCAGCCTCACCCAGGGGCATGAGGAGGGCTAAGGTTGGGCTAATAAACAGGTAATCCCATGAGTCCTCATGAAGGCAAGTACTTTCCGAGATAAGGCATTTACTCTTTGGTGACTGTCAACCCAATGGTTGTGACTGGAGCTGTCCTGGGATGGCGTGGGCATGTGATAGCTACTCTGGGCACTGCTGGGGGACAGGGACAGGTGGCTGAGACCTGAGACGGCTGATTGGAGTAGGAGCTCTTGGCAGCCCACAGGCTGTTGTGCACAATCAGGTTAGAATGGAAATTCATCCATAGAACTCCCAGCTGATCACCAGTGTTGGGAATTTATTTATTTATAGTATAGAGGAACAGGACTAGGTCATTCTAACTCACTCAGCTTCCCCATTTCTGATGAGCTTCATTGTAGCAGGAATACTGGGTTCTATTCAGCCCAAGCAAAACTCTTGAGGGGATAAAGAAGAAATACATGCATTCTGATACTTCCTAGTGGTCTGAGTTAGGTTGTAAGAAAGGCACCTATAAAGAATTTCGTCCCACTTCCCACTCAAAAGCACTGCATATTTCTGATGGCCTGCCTGGGAGCACCCATCTCCAGCCTGCTGTGCTGGCTACTTCTGGCACTTATAGCCCTTGAGATAGGACTGACAGCAGCTCCCTGCGAAGTGCAGACACCCATTCAAAGCAGCACCAACCAAACTATCAACAAGCTAGGAGTAAGAGACATAAATGAACTGGTCACCCCAATGCAGGGGATACAGACTTGTTTTAATATAAAAGACTTAGAAGTGACCTTAACCATGCAGGGCTTATAGGCCTTTGTAGGCACAGGAGCATGCTGTGACCCCTGGCTCTGTGCTAAACACTCGAAAGGGCTCTCTGACTCAAGTGGAGTTGATAAACCTTTTCAATAGTACCAGGAGAGAGTGTGATATCAAAGTGCCAAAAGTCCTCACGGACCAACATTCAGCACAGACATTCAAACTGCTGAAAGAACCAAACAGAACTCAATTGAAAAAACAGACCTTTAAAAAAAAAAAAAAGCAATAGATCTTAATTTGGTGGCAAGATCCCTGGTTTACCTTTTGAAGTCAAAATGTTCAGTACGTCACCTGAGCTTGACTTTTGAGCACTTGGCAAGATTGTTTTTTGCCACTTGACACAAGTATGACGTCCAGCTATGCAAAATGACTGTTTGGTCTGCCTTTTCAGTGTATTTGTGTGGCGATGTCTGTAAATGCCAGAAGCCTCTTATGTTATTGCTGCTGCTGCTACCAGCCAGCAACTGCAGAGGCCACGCTGAGGTGCCTCCTTGCCACCAGCCGTTGGGAAATGCCTACCATGCTGCCCCGGACGCACAAGCTCAAAATGCTGCGGAAGTTACACAGCTGCTCCCATATCTGGACTCTCCAAAACTGTGATGCCACGAAGGAAGGTCAAGTTGTAAAATGTTAAGACTGCTTGCCTCTGTTCCTGAGACTAAACACTATACATACTAACTACATTGACAAAGAACTCCTATCTGATAATGTAGCCCGCTGACAAATTTTGAAGCCTCGGTTACCCTAAACCAATATGTAGCTTTTAATTTGCATCAAAACTTTTACAAAGATGTTTTGCTATTGTTTCTATATACTTCAAGAATGTTCATTTTTACAAATAAGTTGAACAAGACAGCCTAAGTTAGATGCACCGAAGTACTAGAAGTATCACTAGCCTCTGTTCTCCAATTTAGCTTTCAAAACCAAATGAGCCATGTATAAAGGAGTTGAGAAACTTAATTTTTTAATGTTTCATTTGCAGAGTTTTATATCCATTAAGTGCCTTTGAAAGTTTCCAGTTGTGTGGGCTGCTGTCTCACCTCCCACCAATTTCTCCTTTCTCCATATGGTGCTAAAACTTCACAGCTGAGGAGGGCTGCAGGACCCTTAGCAGATTCAGCATGTCACCCTTGTCCTGTGTTCATGCCAAGGCTTCCTAAATGAAAGACGTCAGTTACCTGCTTATGGGAAGGTGAGCAGCAAAGGAACTGAAGTTCGGGACGGGGTAGAATCATGGGTTTTCATTGTGTTTCGTGCCAAACCCACAAAATTCAAAATAGAATTCAAATTAAACAAAGTTCTACTATAAAATGGAAGGGAAAAAAGGCTCTGGAAGGTCCAGGAGAATGAGCTGACTTATCTCGTTAAATCTTAAGATAAATGGGGTAACCCAAGGCTGCACCTTATTGTATCACCCTGAGTGGAGTTGAGGTGACTCCATTGATTGCTTCAGATGAACTATGTAGGTCAAGTCCAGATTCTAAAAAAATTACCTGCAGAACAAATTGTAAACCCAAGGAATAGCTGGTAAATCAAAATTATAAAGTGAGTTAGAGTTCCTTGGAGTTGGTTGTATGACAGAATATGACTTGGACAATCTTTACCGGAAGCCATCCGTACGGCCCTCAGTCACACTTTCCATGTAGCTGACCAGTAACTACAGGATGTGGTCGACAGTGCTCACTGAAAGGAGAGCTGGTGAGGGATTGGTCGTTCTGAGCACATAGACGCCTATTAGTCCTTCCGTTCAGTGAACACAAATTCGAGATCTACATTTACTGGCTACTTGCATTTGTCAGTTTAGAGAAAAGGTAAAATGAAGCATTTTCAGTTAAAGAATAGACTAACAAACATTTACCACAGAAGTGCTTCAGCATTCTAAATGGATTAGATCACTCATTAAGCTATTTTTATATGCCAATTTACTAATGCCTTACATCAATCCACGAATACGTTGTTGGGCCCACAGTAGAGTCCCTATGCAGTCCCAATTCTGTTTTCTGTAACCATGTGACTGGTGATGCTGAGTGATAACCATGTCTGCCTATATTGTACTAGACTCTTCATGCTGATCGGATCTTGCATTGAAATAACCACGTGGAAGAAAAATAAATCGATTAGTTATGAAATGTACAACCATATTTAAAGAGCAATAGTGTCCGTGTGTCATGAAAAACTTATTTGTAAACGTTTATATGGTATGATTTTATGTATGTTCATAAATCCTGCACTGTATGATATACGTTAAAATATCGGTGCATGAATTTATTTTCAAAGTATAAAACACATCACTTAAACATTTTATGTGTCAAATAAATTTATTTGATTATGTAAACACATTTGTTGACTTTTGTTTCCCAAGTAAACAGCTGCACCATCAGCTGAAAAAACTTTTCTAAAAGCACAAGCTACCATTCACTGGTTGAAGCAAAGTCTACCCACTATGTGCATTTTTAATCTGCAGTTTCGTTTCATGAAATGAAAATACCAAAGTACATTTTAAGTCTATAAGCTTTATTGATACTTTGCTTTTACAGTTCACAATGCATTCCACAGATTTAGTTCAGTACAGCTTAAACCACAATGGTATAAATCTTCATTTTGTAATTTCTTGCATAACAATGTTTGATATTTGCAAACAACATTTTTGGAAGCATTAGATTCAGTCCATAGAGTTGAGTTTGTGACAAAATTAACTACAGGAAGTCTGTGCAATGAAATTTATGTTGGAGTTCTATGTGTGTGGCATTTCATGTTGAAAACAGATGGTAGTGCTCCTAGAAATGTATTTTCTTTTTCTAGCTTATGTGCTTTGGAACTATACATGTATAACCAATGACTCTGAAATACCAAGCACTGTGGGGTGGCTGGAAGGTAAAGGTCTAAGCTTTGTGAAACACTATATATACATAATCTATATTTACTTATATTGGCAATTAATATAACAGTAAAAGTCACAATACACCTAGAACATACCAGAAAAGCAAGATTTTCCATTCCTGCTTTACTGTTATGATCTTGTCTAAACATTTCATTTCAGAAAATCTGCATCAATCTACACGGACCATACACAGTGCACAAACTGAAAAGGGCTTTTTTTTCTAACTCCACCATCTCTGCAACTTGCCAAGATGCAGCAAGACTACCTGCAACAAAGTAAAATATACAGGTTTTTATTCCACCAGTGCCTCAGATAGGAAAAAGATATGATTACGGTTTAAATCCATACATAGCAGCTTACAATACTTAGATGATGAACACATGGCAGTCAAGACAGGTAATTTTCCCTCACAACAGTGCATGGCTAAAAATAAAGATCTAACAACGATCTGTGAAACTGCACTGCAATGTCAAGGTTCGTACTTCCCTGACCCTCCCCCGTATACTCAAATGAATACCCCCTTTAAAGATGAACTCCTAGTAATTATTTTGGGTGTTTTCATTCAGCTTTGCGCTTCAATCCAGGGATTTTCGCTTGGATTCTGAAAATGAAAAAGTCAATGTAAATATCAGTTTTGTTTGCTGCTGCTTAACATACCATCTTCCAAGAACCACTTGTATGTTATTCAGCTAACACAAGAAATGAAATCCTTGAAGCTGCCTAATTCTACACTGTAATTTTGCCACCTTGGCCTCATGAATTAGATTTAAACAAAGCCTTAAACACATAATAAACCCAGAATGGTCCAAATGTTAGAAAAACAATTTTTTTTTGGCAACTCTGAAGTCACACTTGAGGTCTGACAGAGATTCGTTACTCATTATGCCTGCAATATGAAAATACTGTTCTCACAATCCAGCATACCTTATCCTAGTAAAAACACTGCAGATTTTTAAATACTTACTTAGCCATAGCATCTTTAACATTCTTATTTGCAAGTCCTAGATAATGATCTATCTGTGCCTGAAAGAGAGGTATAAAGGAATTATGAATTACCATTGCTAAAGAATCTTATTAACCACTACTATGTGTCAAACTAAAGGCTTAAGAAACTATCACATTTCTCATTTTTATAAGACATTGAAAATGGGCACTAATACATTCATAAATCCCATGTAATAGAGTGGGCGCTCTATTCTGAAGTCAGCAGTTAGGAAATTACCTGATGCCGTTCATAAATAACAGGAACACTGAAGAGTGAAATGAGAGCTGAAAAGGGAAATATACAACTTTTCAAAAAGACTGGAATGATTTGGGAGAAATAAACACTCAAAAAACTATGAAACTGGCACCTCAAGATAACCAAGCAGTGTTGCTAATGAATGAATACGAACATAAGGATCTCTGGCTGCACCTGCTGTTGAGGAGCCACTCCAGGAGTGAATGAATGGTGTGAGGCTGCAGTTAGTTATTCATTAGAGCCAGGAACCATTCCTAGCTTCATTCATATCACAGGTTTCATAAAATACAGGTATTCCTGGTAAGATTGATGACTGCACCATCATATAAGGCCACCCTTTATCTGGTCTGTCACTGTTAGTAGGAGCAGTCTTCAGCACCTAAGGTAGCATTTCAATAAACTGGGAAGCAGTATCACCAACTTATTTAAAGAGAATACAACCTCAAACTTTTTTTTTTTTTTGAGATGGAGTTTCACTCTTGTTGCCCAAGCTGAAGTGCAATGGCGCGATCTCGGCTCACTGCAACCTCCGCCTCTTGGGCTCAAGTGATTCTCCTGCCTCAGCCTCCTGAGTAGCTGGGCTTACAGGCGCACGCCACCACGCCCGGCTAATTTTTTTGTAATTTTAGTAGAAATGGGGTTTCACCATGTTAGCCAGGCTGGTCTCAAACTCCTGGCCTCGGGTGATTCACCCACCTCGGCCTCCCAAAGTGCTGGGATTACAGGCGTGAGCTACCGCGCCCGGCCCAAACTTTCATCCTCTACTTTTCATACAGTGAGAATATTCCCCACTAAAATGTCTAAGCTCTCCTGGCACACAGTCTTTTTTCCAGCAATTTTTCATCCCAATGGCTTTGTAGACTTACCCAAAATCAGTAGCGTCAGACCATTAAACAAGGCACCAACATAGGTAAATACCCACATCAACACTGCAAACTATAAGAAAATAACAGCCCATTATAAACAAAATTCAAGTAACGTTTCTTAATTATGCTTTCAAAAGCATCCCATCTAAATGCCAACCTACAGAGGCATACAACTTGAAGACTGGGTAAAGTACCATGAACAGCTCACTTTTAAGTCACCAGTCTCAATTACGAATTTCAGAATCCTAAAATAGTAGATTTGACCCATTTTCTCTGGACTACACTACCAAGTAGTTGATTCTGCTGAGATGAGAAAATATACCAAGGGTACATCTTACCCCTCCAGCACTAACAGCATTTAGCTTTTTTTTTTTTTTTTTTTTTTTTTTTGAGACGGAGTCTCGCTCTGTCGCCCAGGCTGGAGTGCAGTGGCCAGATCTCAGCTCACTGCAAGCTCCGCCTCCCAGGTTTACGCCATTCTCCTGCCTCAGCCTCCCGAGTAGCTGGGACTACAGGCGCCCGCCACCTCTCCCGGCTAGTTTTTTGTATTTTTTAGTAGAGACGGGGTTTCACCGTGTTAGCCAGGATGATCTCGATCTCCTGACCTCGTGATCCACCCGTCTCGGCCTCCCAAAGTGCTAGGATTACAGGCTTGAGCCACCGCGCCCGGCCAGCATTTAGCTTTTAAATGGGAAGACTAGAACGGTAATATGATAATTGTCTATTAAAATTGATTTCAAAGTACTAACCAGTTGAGTGCTTGAAGATATATGAGCTGAATAATTCACACATTAATATCTCAGACAGCTGATAATAATTGGGCAAAGAGTACTTATCTGGGAAATTATGTTTCAGGTACCAAAAATACCACCTCCAGCCTTTGAAGGATCAGGCACAAAGTTAGTCTGAATTTTGTTAAACATTGGTCATCATCAGTTCCTTTGCTTTCTAATTCAAGGCCTTCATATATATGTCTGGCAATCACTCTGACCTATTTCGTAGGTAAACAACATGATGCCACCATCTACAGTGATTATTTAGTCTTACATAACAGTATAAATGAAAAGGGGAGTAGTAGAGCACCCCCATTATCTAAAGCAGGGAACAGCAAACTTTCTCTGTGAAGAGCTACAGTAAAATTTCAGGTTTTATGGGCCACATAGGGTTTGTATCTCATATTATTCTTTGTTGTTATCTTATAACCCTTTAAAAATGTACACCACCCACTCTTAGCTCCCACACTATACAAAAACAGGCCATGGCCCAAACAAGCAGTGGTTTGCTAACCCTTGATCTAAAGCTTATCTTTCTCCATGTATTAAACGAACTCTGACTGAATGCTTACTGAGCATTAAGGAGTCAAACATTAGTAAGCATACTTGTTACACCTTAGGAAGACACCTTGGATGACTCTACAAAGCAACAATTCTACAAATAGCAACACTCTGGTCACCCTAACTGAATTTAACTAATGTTCAAGTCAGTAAATATCAGGCATTCTTAATATCTGTCAATTGAAAAAAAAAATTAAGCTGTCCTATTCTTAGCAATTGCTATTGGAACCCCTGGTAGAAAGGTTTGAAGGATGACTTCAGTTAGTAAGGCTTTTCTCTCACACAGTTTTACAGACTCCTATTGCTGAAGCTAAATATAAGTTTTGCACTTGAGCAAGTTTACTATAGAGCAAGGGAGTTATTTTTATCCATCACTGTCCACAAGTGTAAACGGAAAAGTGTTGACCTTCCACATTTTAGAAGAAATTGCTTTAGCAACAAAGATGCCCTTAACATGACAGAAGATAGTAACAAACACAAACTAAAGTAAGTCCTCATTTGGTCATTACAGTCACTGACAAGGCTTCACTCCAAGTCCATAGGAGAGAAGCCCAAGACTTCACACCTGAGCCACTGAAGGGGCTCATATGTCACTTGCCTCTTTGAGAACACTTCCTAAAAGCCAGGCTATTCCGAGGCAAAGAGAAGAACAGAGGGAGGTCTCAAATGTCCTTAGGGCCAGACAGGTGACACACATGTATGTGAGGGGCTGGGAGAGAACTGAGGCACACAGTGATATGCATTCTTCCTCTCAAAGGGGTACTTACAACAGCCCTGCTCCATATGCTGTCACCATGCAAATACTCCTGCCCAGTGTTGCCAGAAATGGACACTTTTGTGTGCTATCACTTAATTTTTAAATGTTGCAGCTATGTTGAGAAAATGGAAACTTCGGGGGCCCAAAACAAAAATAGCAGGTAAGTGTATCCAGGGACACACCATCAAGAGAGAAATGGGTGGCAGCGAGAACTAACCTAGAGAGTAACCATTATTAATGGGAATCCACCACAAATGATGGATTTGTAACACGGCAGGAAGAAGGTCAATAAACACCACTTTAAAGAAGCAAACAGGCTGCTCTCATTTTGGACTTAGAAATTCCATGAGCTTCCATGGCAAATACTTTGCAACATTATAGCCAATACTTATTAACTGAAGAGGTCAAAGTTTATCCCTCTTTTGCACAGTAAGGAGACTGGAGGAAGGAGGTCCAAAATGTAATGAAGATCTAACAAATACTTACTGAAAAGGGGTAAGGGCCATGTCTGGTTTATCTTTCTTTCTGGGCAATAAGAGAATTAAATTCACTGTGTATCACACACCTGATGAAAAAGCTCTGCAGATTTCTGATGTTTCAATTTAGGGAAAGGGGACATCTTTAAGGCAAATGGTGGGAGAGTGCTTAATAAGATCTCAGAAATTACTCCGGCAGTTCTGACCATTTCAAAACTTTTCTGCATTCTCAAACTCTGAACTCTACTTGCCCTTCTGTCTCCTTCAGATTCATTCATTAGTTGGTATTGTCTGGACTGTCTCTACATCCCCAGACCATTTCCTTCTAATTTTTCTGAGAGCTCAAGGAACCTGAAAGGAAGCTGTCAAAATGTGAATGTTAACAGCTGCCTATCTATGAGCGTGAGAGCTAGATTTTGTGTTCTTTTGGGTCAGCTATTTCTGGAGCTCAGGCCGTTTTTTTTTTTTTTGCTTCCCCTCACTTTCAGATTTAAGATTGTATTCTGGAGCACTATAGTTGCCTCAATTACAGGAAAGTAAGACCCTCTGCTGAAAATACCTGGTCTTAGTCCCTTCAAAAGTAAAATTATTAGACAGCTTTTTGGGATTTGAGGTTTCAAAAGACAGGAACCCGCTAAGAAGACTCAGAGGCATATTCAATTAGCCCAAAAGCTGAGCCCAGTAGGCACTGTCATATGCTTTTCTTTCATTTTTGGGGGTGGGAAGTGGGGGTAGGGAGGGTTTACGGTTTCATGCCACAGATGTTTAAAACAGTGATTTTTGCCATACTATTTGACTAGAAAACTGGTCGCTGCTCACTCTATAAACACTTGAAATCTTTTCTAGGACTTAGAAGTTTGTAGTTAATTGCAAAGGAGCAAAACAAATGGAACATTACACAAGAATTTAAAAGGAGAACTCTGCAGAACATGTCTTATTTTATTCACCAAAGTCAACCACCAGAAAACTTGGACCAGGCACACGGATGCCCATCATTTCACACTGGCGTTTACAAAAGGACGAATGAGCCCTGGAGTTTGGTTATTTCTTTGATCCCATTTTGAAAGGCCAGGCTCGTCCTTCACTGCCCCTTCCAAAAGGCAATAAGCAAGGAAAAGGTTTCACATGCTAGCAACAGTGGCTCTAAAATTTCAATTTCTGAGGAAGATGGTTTCAAATAGAAATAGTCATAGTTGTAGGCTGGGCATGGTGGTTCACACCTATAATCACCAGCACTTTGGGAGGCCAAGGAAGGCGGATCACCCGAGGTCAGGAGTTTGAGACCAGCCTGGCTAACTTGGCAAAACCCCATCTCTACTAAAAATACAAAAATTAGTTGGGCGTGATGGCGGATGCCTGTAGTCCCAGCTACTTGGGAGGCTGAAGCAGGAGAATCACTTGAACCCGGGAGGCAAAGGCTGCAGTGAGCCAAGATCGCACCACAGCCCTCCAGCCTGCTGCAGTGAGCCAAGATCGCATCACAGCCCTCCAGCCTCGAGAGGCTGAAGCACGAGAATCACTTGAACTTGGAGGCAAAGGCTGCAGTGAGCCAAGATCGCACCACAGCCCTCCAGCCTAGGTGACAAAGTGAGACTCCATCTTAATAAAAAAAATAAAAAATAAAAAAGAACTACTGATAATTGTGACCCAGAATCTAAAAATGTAGATATACATTTGAGGGCACACAACAGATCTTGCATTTATGAAGACAATGAGTTATAGAGATACTTCTTTCAAATTGTTGTTTAAAAACTATTTTGTAAACACAGCTTGATAAAATTATCTTTTCTAAATGACAAAAATTTAGAAATGAGAATTTCTACATTTTCCTGAAATTAAGATGGTTTCCATTTTCCTAGCTATGAATCATATAAAATCAATGTAATTCCAATAAAAAGTTGCTTCCTATAAATTTTTAAAAACTCATTGTTATTTAAATAAAACATTCATCTAAACTGGAGAGACTGGGGCTATTAGCAAACTTCCCACAAATTTAAAATCTGACTAAAAGGCATTAAAATAAATCCTTTTAAACAAGGTAAATACATTTTTCCTTATGCTGAAAAAGTAAAAAAAGAATGGGAATTGGAAAAACACATTTTTTGCTTGCTTTAGGGCTAGAGAATATAACTTTCCCTACCAGTTTTTGTGGCTAAAAGTCAAAAAGTAATACAGTCCACTATTAAGGAACTTAAGATTTTAATAATTTTTTTTTTTTTAAGGAGACAGGGTCTCACTCTGTCACCCTGGCTGGAATGCAGTGGTATGATCATGGCTCACTACATTCTCCACCTCCTGGGCTCACTCAAGAGATCCTCTTGCCTCAGCCTCCCAAGTAGCGGGGACTACAGGCATGCGCTGCCATGGCTGGCTGATTTTCTAGTATCTTTTTATAGAACAGAGTCTCACAATGTTGCCCAGGCTGGTCTCAAATTCCTGGCCTCAAGCAATCCTTCCGCCTTGGCCTCCCAAAGTACTGGGATTACAGGCATGAGCTACCGTGCATGGCCAGGAAAACCTTTTTCTTTTTAAAATGCTCTCTATATAAACAAAAACTGTGGGGGATAAGTGTGGCCATACACAGAAGTCTCTCTAGAAAGGTAATCCCTATCAAGCATGTTTATAAAAAGGCGAAGTTATATTTTTTTTATCAGCTTCCTTTTTCAATAAAAGCTGTTTTAAGGAAGTATTCAGTATTTCTGTAGTACCCTCATATTCAATGGAAACAAAGAGATGGAATCTGTACTACTCATATACAACGACATTAAGAAAGCGTTTAGCTAAATTCTTGTGTGGCAAAATCACAAGGGTTATCAAGGAAGACCTTTCATGTACATGATCAGAGTGTGCACCAGAATCACCAAGGGCTTCATACCCATCACCTTTCATGAGGAGAAAAGGACACATTCCCTGCCTTATTCATTTGCCTCTAGAATTTGAGATCTAAATGCCAGGTTCACTTTAAGTGCTAACATGATGAAGCAACTGTTATTTATTTGCAGTCCTAAATCAACTGCAATCTGGGGAAGTCACCAAGCCGTTTTCCTTGAGCTCTGGGCTTGCTAAAAACACAACACAGGGAAACCAATCAAGTATGTTTTTCTTCGCTTTTCTTTTTAAAAGTATTGCTAATCCTTAAGGAGAAATTAAATTTTAATCAAAGTCCTTTTTTCCAACAAGTTGTTAAGAAACAACAAGCGTTCCAGGAAGGAAATCTATCTCATCATGTGTCACTTTCTGTTACTTTCAAATTAGCAGTCACTCAACGCAAAAACTTATCAAGTTTGATTTCTCTCATTTATGCTAGCTTCCTCATGAATAACATAATTGCTTTTATAAAAAAATGTAGTTTTCGAAAGAAATTAAAAGATTTAACAAAGAAATTATTTCTCAAAACTTATTTTAAAAAGTCCTCATATTCGATTCTCAAATACCTGTGCAAAACAGAGATTTAAAACGTTTCTTAAGATCTCATCAGCCCCTAACATATTTTCTCTCCTCTTGCCTTTGACAAATATTTCTACACCTACGTAAGTATCTACACGTTGGACTTTGTATGGATGAAAATTTTCTCTGAAAGAATAAGTTTTCTTTTGATTAAAGACAAGTGGAAACTTTATACTCAAACTCAGAAAACTAGAGCATAATGCATCATTCACACATCAATTTAAATAAATAGATTTATTCAAGAATGACATTTCTCTCAAGAAAAATGTTAAATTGTAGACATATAGCTGCCTTCACTGCTATACTGTGCAAACATGGAGGATGACTTTTGGTGTATCTCTGTTGCCATGTTTATTGAATCCATAAAAACAACAACCATCTCTCCTCTCCTAAGCTCACCAGGCTTTTCTTTGAAGTCACCTCTCTCCCCCACCAATCTTTGACTTAAATTCAGAGATGGTCCTTTGCCGTTTGAAGCTCTGAATTACTACCTATAGACAGTGTTTCTTCTCAGTCAATTCCTATCCACAAACCATCCATCTTACATGGCATCAGTACCTCCTACTCAATCACTTTTCACACATGTTCTACCCTAAAAGTCAGCTACATACAGAAGGTAATAACACATGAATAGGAACTGGCTTCCTCTAGGCTGTATGTACAAGGTTCTATTTCATTTGCTCCAAAATATTTTTACTTTATCTCTTTTGAAACTAATCAAACATGCCAAACAACATAACCATAATCTTTTTATTTACAGACTGACATCAGATCATTTTAAAACATCACTACAGATTTAGTCACTAAATGCAACCACTCTATATGAAAGAGATAAGTAATAAAAGGAAACTACATGATTTACCCTTGATGTTATTAGGAAGTAACTTAAGTTCCAAGTCATAAATAAAATAAGAGATGTGGCTGGGCAAGGTGGCTCATGCCTGTAATCCCAGAGACGCAAACAACTGAAAATAATGTATCAACTACCAGGTTATAAAGGCTAAACATTTTTTTTTTAATAAAAGCACTTTAAGCACTTACACCTATTCTGACCAGTTCAGAAATTGTTTTTTTGAGTCTAAAGGCCCAGTCACCCCCTTATTGCTACTATATCCTTGGCATGTGTGATAAATATAAACTAGAACATTTCTCTTGGAAATGAAAAATGAAAAATTATGAGAATTACCACCACTACATTTCTGTCCAGGCTTAGATTGGAAACAAGTCTACCTGTTTTCTGCAGAGTCACAGGCAACAGCATATAAAACACAAATGCCAAGTTCTATGAAAAAGAAAAGCACTACAAGTCCAGTGCTTCAGGCTTAATTAAATTACACAACTCTGGTTTAGTGCCTGTTTCGTCAGTCAGAACTTTGGGAGAGTTTATCTGCAAGGTGAGACTCTTAACAGCTGCTTATGCAGCAAGATCCCAAACTAAAGAAAAACTTCCAATGATGACCAATTGAAGATCAGTTGAGGTGTTTCAAAACATTAAATCTTATCTAGAATAAGAAAGAGTCCAAAATATGAAATAGCTTTCATGTATGTATGAATCACATATAAGATAAGAAACTAAGTGCTGGACTGTAAAACAAAGTCAGAATGAATAAATCACATCTGGTATTAAAACTGGCATTAGACGATCTTTATGCTTATAGTCAAAATTCCCTTTAATTTCCTCTTCCTTTTAATCTTTATGATTTCCAAAAGTATGATTTTATATATATATATTAAAAAACAAAACAATTTTTTTGAGACAGAATTTTGCTCTTGTTGCCCAGGCTGGAATGCAATGGCGCGATCTCAACTCACCAAAACCTCTGCCTCCCGGGTTCAAGAGATTCTCCTGCCTCAGTTTCCCGAGTAGCTGGGATTACAGACATGCGCCACCATGCCCAGCTAATTTTGTATTTTTAGTAGAGACGGGGTTTCTCCATGTTGGTCAGGCTGGTCTCGAACTCCTGACCTCAGGTGATCTGCCCGCCTGGGTCTCCCAAAGTGCTAGGATTATAGGCGTGAGCCACCGTGCCCGGCCCAAAAGTATGATTTATAACTTATTCTCCTTTAAAAAGGAAAACAGGACTCTCTGTATTAAGTATTACCCAAAAAAAAAAAAAAAAAAAAAAAAAAAAAAGCACTTATTCATCCTTATCTGATTGGATTCTGAATTTTAAAACACAAGTTTCTAGCCATGTGATTTAATTTTTATCATTCACTTGAATATAGAAAATACAATTTTACACTCAACTCTTTTGATACTAAATTCTGAGTATATCAAAAATGAAAGGCAAAATAAACTTACCTTCAGAGAATCAACTAAATCATCAACTAAGAAGAGGCGCCTGAGTTCCTTTATCGTGCAGTTCACATGACCAAGAGCAGAATTACTGTACTTCTGAACCAACTCCTCAGATATAGCAACTTCAGATTCCAGATATGCCCTAGAAAACAAAACACATCGTAATTGTCACTAATTGAAGTAATTTTCCCCAAAATGTCAATCAGAAATTATATATCTGTAAGAAATTAAGAAAATATTCTACTATGAAAGCCAACTGTTTCCAAATTAAGGGCAATATAAAAACTCAGCAGTAAGGGGTATTTCCTTGATATGCACTGTCTGCTGACTAGCACAGAAAAAACATACACTTTGAAGCCAGACTGATCTAGGCTTGAATCTGATGCTCTGCCACTTACCTGCCTAGGTAATTTTGCAAAGTTATTCTTCCCTCTAAACTTAGTTTCCTCATTTATAAAGTGGAGATTATCACGATAATTCAATGAGAAAAGTGCCTAATGTAACTGGGCACAAGGATGCACTCAATAAATGGTAGTTATGACTATGGGTTTTTTTTTTCCTTAAAGTTGACACTATGTTGTCTCATCAAGTTTTCCTAACAAAGATCTTTTTCATTTCCAAATCCTAAACTCTCTAAGACTAACCTCTAGGGGAAATTGCTCAATGTGTTAAGAACAAGATTGTAAAGTGGCCGCCAAAGCACAGTGGCAATCCTAGCAAAACCTAAGAGTTACGTCATGCTTTAATCCATTCTGAGATGGCTAAAATTGTGAAATTTAAAAATATTGTATTGGTAATAAATAAATACATAAAAATACTATAGTGGGGAAAAAGCCAAGTCCATAGGAATGTAAGGAACAGTTTCATTATTGTTTCAAAGACGCCGTTTTATCCTGGCAAAGTACAACCAACTCAGAAGTGCTGAGTCTTCTTTCGTATCTGCTGGAAGTAGTCCTCATAACCTCCCCATGTGTGAGGACGCCAGTTTCATACACTGGAAATAACATCTTAGACAACTCCGTGTCCCATAGTTTTACCTCTGCAACATGCCCCAAATATGTTTTCTGGTTTTTATTCACAGTGCCATCACTCTATTTTAAGTGCTTACTATTTATGAGATGGAATATTCTATCGCTCTCCAAACAAATCTTTGATCTGCCTGCATCCAAATCCATTCTGTCAGTCAATGCCAGATTAACCTTACGTGAGCTATCCTAGATAGTGCTGTCTAGGCTGAACTCAGGCAGGAGTTAGAAGACCTGCCACTACCTACCTATACAACATTGCAAAAGGCATTTAACTTCTCTGGGTAAGTGCTCCAACTCTGTAAATTTGAGAGACTTTCCTCAGTTCCTTCAGGCTCGAACATTCTGTGATTCTATGACTCCAACTTTTCAACCAGGGACATCCTCCTGAATCTTTCCAAACTTACTTCCAACTACTCTTTATGTTGCAGTCAGAAATGAGTCATTCACTAAATATTTTTTAACCTTAATGTAGCCTTTATTAATCATATGGTTTTCCCAATCTGCAATGCTCTCTTACCTCTGGTGATACCTTATTTAGCCAGTTAGCCTGATCTCAAATCTCTCTCATCCATGGGGCCTCATCTGACAATCTCTTTCATAAAACCCTGATGTTATCTCTCACTCCTGTATAATTCTAACAATGCTTTCTTTTGTGTTAGTCTTATAGCATTTACTGGATTCAGCTCTGAAATATAGACACGTGTATACTTGTATATTTTTCCTACTTGAGTATGAACTGTTATGGACCAGGAATGTATCTTTACTAATACATGGTCTAATACACTGTTAGACAATTATTAACAAAAAACCGAATTATTAATATCAAGTGAAAAATACTCAAAGATTCACACTGATATTTAAATCAACAATTACTTGTTTACCCAAATTTGAGAAATATAAGAAAGTGGCTGATATAACCCTGGTTGGAATTCTGCTTCTTTGTACCACTGTTGCTGGTTCTTGCTAAAAACAAGATGCCTAACCAGAAGGCACAAAGACAGCACTCCCCATCAATGACATCCTGTAGATATTTACATTAATTCAACTGACATTTATGTGATATTAATACAAGGCCAGCACTGTTCATCACTCTTTCAGTAACCACAGATATTAGATACAAACCACACAATATCACCTTTACTAAAGTGATTAAGGGGAACTAGGAAAAATTGTCCAACAAGCTTAAACTGGTAGTTGGCTGAATTTACTTTATAATGACTATAAAAGGACTTTAAGAATAAAAGTGTTTCTAGCCAGGCACGGTGGTGCACGCCTGTAGTCCCGGCTACTTGGGACACTGAGGCAGGAGGATTGCTTGAGCCCAGGAGTTCGAGACTAGCCTGGGCAATACAGTGAGACCCATCTCTTTGAAGAAAGTTTAAAAAATGAATAAAGTGTTTCTAAGAAGGAAATAAATCACTAATATTTTCCAAAAACCTCAAAAATCGATGTGTAAAATTGGAACTGTAGAAAATTTAGAAGTTTTGGCTTGACAATATTTTTACATATTTCAGCATAACTAATTAAAAATCATACTTCTTTATCATTTGTGGCTTGATAACAATATGACTCAGCCTTTTTTTTTTTTTTTGAGAAAGAGTCTCGTTCTATTGCCTAAGCTGGAGTACAGTGCCATGATCACAGCTCACTGCAGCCTTCAACTCCTGGGTTCTAGCCATTTTCTCAGCGCAGCTGCCTGAATACCTGGGACTACTGGCATGCATCACCACACCTGGCTAAGTTTTAATTTTTTGTAGGGATGGTGGTCTCACTATGTTGTTCAGGGTGGTCTCAAACTCCTGGCTTCAAACAATCCTCCTGCCTTAGGATCCCAAAGCACTAGTATTACAGGCATGAGCCAACACGTCTGGCTGGCTCTGCCATTTTGAAACTACAATTTCAAGTTACTGAATTCCAAGTTTTTCTCTGCCACCCTGTAAAATGGAGTGATACCACCTATTTCATAGAATTATCATAAACTTAAACTTATTAATAATAAGAGCTATTCAATAAATGTTGGTCTCACCCCCAAACTTGTATAACGTCATTACTTCATCAAAAAGAGAAAGCCAGAGAAAGATCACCAGTCTTTACAATAAGCAAAATAATTTAGTAGGTCTCCTCTTTCAAAGTATGTAAATCCATTTAATTTCCCCATTAATATCAACTGGATCATGTTGTAGGTAGGTACATACTCATATGCCCAAACAGGTATTTACCTTGCCAGAAATAGTTTTTTTCTTTGTTTCCCCTACTTTCAAGCTAACAAGTTAGAAATAGTTTTTAAATGACTGCAATCTATTTGAAGAAAAATGATCTCCTTATGCAAAACAATTAACATTTCAAAGGCATACTTAATGCAGTAGGAACCGAATTCTCAGATTATTTGGGGTCAGGGTTAGGAAATCCTCCAAAGAGCTGGGTCTTGAATCAAACTCAGAACCAAATAAAAAATATGACTGAGGGATCTAGGGAGCTAAGGAAGGCAGCATGAACATGGGTACAAAACTCTAGAAGGAATAAACGAGAGACAAGACAAAGACATCTGGACTTCATCCTACAGTCTATAGAGGGCCCCTGCCTTTTTTTTTCTCTTTAGAAAAAAAGGGGTACTTCTAGAAAAATTAATCTGACATCATCTGTAAGAATGGCAGTAATCCAAGGTAACTAGAAGTCAATCTGGTAACAAATGGAGTCCAATTAGGGGTCAGCAAACGTTTTCTGTAAAGGGCCAGATAGTTAAGCATTTTAGGCTTTCATGTTCATATGGTCTCTGTTACAACTACTGAATTCTGCTATTACAGTATGAAACCAGCTAAATGAATAAGCATGGCTGTGTTCCAACAAACTTTATTTACAAAAGCAGGCAGCAGACTGAATTTGGCCATGGCTTTGCTTTAGAGGCTCCTGGTAGACTGAGGAAGCAGTGGAAAAGAACAAAATTTTGTGATTTTCTTAACAATATTTAGTGATTTTCTTTACATGAGATAAAACAAACATAACATCAAAACAGGAGCCTGAAAACTAGCATGGTAGTGGTGTTACAGATAGAAATTAACAAGTTTGAGGGAAAAAATTCATTTAAAAACGTGGTGAACTAGTGGTAGTTGTGCGTTGGTTGGGGAGTTGAACTGTTAATAAGTAGGAAGTTTCTTTTTGTGTGATGAAAACAGTGATGGTTGTAGAATTCTGTGAATATACTAAAAACAAATGAGTTTTATGGTATATGAATTATATGTCAATTAAAAAAGAGGAGGAAAAACATGCAGAGTATGAGGTGAGGGCAGACTCAAGCTGAGGTGTGTCTCAATAGCAACTATATAATGCCATAGTACACTTGTGAAAATAAGGGTAGAAGATGATAGTTGAGAGACAAGGAGATGCTGAAATAAAGCTCTCCAAAAAATAATCAAAAAGTAATGCCTTAAGAAACTAGATAAATACATAAATAAAAGCATAACAGAAAAATATCAGCATACTACTAGAAAGATATGAAATATCAGAAAGGATGTTATCAGACAGCATAAAAAGTAAACAATAAAGAATATATAACCCTCACCAAACCTACCCATGTTAAAAAGACACAACACTCATTAAAGTAAGATAACCAATGCCTAACTCTAATAAACATTCGTAACAAGTAGCAGAGTTAGTTTAATGATACGTAAACAGTCTCCTCCATCATGAGCCTTTGAAATGACTTTTTGAAAATCTCGAAAACAGATGTTTTTGGTATAGCTTAAGCAAATATCTGCAATTATCTTTAAGAAAAAAGTGCATGCTTGTAACTCTATAGACAGTAGATGAAGTCCTAATGCTAATCCTGTTTACACTATTGCCAATGCATGCCTTGTTTTCCAGACATCTCACCTGAATGGGTGGCCTTCATCTGATTTCTGGATAGCTTGGATCACACCCCTGTATATCCTAAAGCTGATGGTCACAGAGAGCAGGGCCAAGGCAATGTAGGCTGTTACACTCACAATGCTGAATACTGTCAATGAAAGCAGCAGGAATAGGCTGGCACCAAACACCACTCCAGTCTTCTTAATGTCTCTCCAGTAGAGGAGGTCAACAACTAAAAATTGAAAAAGAAATCTGAAATTAGAACATTATTTTATCAATTTGGATTTGTTCCATCTATGAAAATAAAAAGACTACTACATAAAGTAAAACCAAACCTAAAAAGTTAAAGAAACACTAAGTTAAAGAAACATTAACTTTAAAACCCACATTTTAAACCCACTCTTAGTTGTATATCAGTATAACACCTCTCCATGAAATGTTATTTATTTCTGCATAACCAAATCATTCTAGCCATACACAATGATTAAATGTCTCCAAAGCCTAGAAGACTTCTAATCCAAAACAAGGAGTTACTTAAAATAATCTTGGGGGCTGGGCGTGGCGGTTCATGCTGGTAAACCCAGCACTGTGGGAGGCTGAGGCAGGTGGATCACCTGAGGTCAGGGATTCCAGACCAGCCTGGACAACATGGCGAAACCCCACCTCTACTAAAAATACAAAACTTAGTGGGGCATGGTGGCGCATGCCCGTAATCCCAGCTACTCGGGAGGCTGAGGCAGGAGAATTGCTTGAATCCGGGAGGCAGGGGTTGCAGTGAGCCGAGACTGCACCACTGCACTCCAGCCTGGCGACAGAGCAGGACTCTGTCTCAAAAAAAAAAAAAAAGAAAGAAAAAGAAAAAATAAATCATCTTGGGGTTTTTCATCTCATACAATGCATGCTATATAATCAAATAATTCAATAAATAAATTCCAATAACAAAAAATATTAACACACTAAAATGAGATACTTCAGTGACACCAAAATATATGCAGAAAATAAATCAAAAAAGACTGAGATAGAAAAACTACACATATGAATGAGCTTTACAACTCTGCTCTTTTTGTTTCGTTTTGTTTTTTTCAGATGGAGTCCCCCTCTGTCACCCAGTCTGGAGTGCAGTGGCACGATCTCGGCTCACTGTAAGCTCCGCCTCTTGGGTTCACGCCATTCTCCTGCCTCAGCCTCCCAAGTAGCTGGGACTACAGGCGCCTGCCACCATGCCCGGCTAATTTTTTGTATTTTTAGTAGAGATGGGGTTTCACCATGTTAGCCAGGATGGTGTCGATCTCCCGACCTCGTGATCCACTCACCTCAGTTTTTATTTGATTTTTTTGTGCAACAACTCTGCTCTTAAGATCTCTCTTTGACAAACAAAATTGTAACTTAACCTGGGTATCATTAAAAGAAAAATTTCTACAAAGTAAAAGACAAAACAGCCTTTAGATTACCTGAAAAGCTACTTCCTTCTAAGAGTTGATAAATATAATGCTGTAAAAATTTTGGGGTCAAAGAAAAAAGAAAAGTAAATGTGCTACACTGTTACATAATGTTTATTAATAGTAATGAGTCAGACAGAGCCCAACTTAGCATGTCTGCTCTTGGATATGGCCACAGGGCCACTGAGGGGATCAAGGAAGCATAGCCTGATGTCTCAAATATACTCTTTGCAAGAAGAGGTGACATCGAAGAAAAATCACAGTTTTAGGGCTGCTTTGGTTTTGATCCCCAGGTCCTCTAAGGTGTACGTAACTTTCCTTTGCTCTTAAGGGTACTTCTGTGGGGAAAACTATGTATGTGAACTGCACAATGTTGGATATTAGTACAAAGTCCTTAATTGCTGCTAGTATATCATGAGTACTGTTTAGGATATTTTAAATGCCCAACACTGTGTCCAGTACATAGCAGCGATTCAAACACTTATTTCAGTCACCTAAATGGCTTGAATGCTATTAATTTAACATTCTATATATGATTTCGAGCTTTGTTTCCAAACTCTGATTTCAACTATTTATTCAAATATTCCCCAACTTGTTTGGTACAGCCCTGCCTAAAACATCTAAATGAGCTCAGTGTTATTCCACTAGTTTCTACTATTGTACTAGCATAACTGAGGACTGACAAGAACTTGAAATGGTCTATCTATAGGTTGTCAAAAGGACATTACGAATAATGTCATACTGAATAAGGAGATAGGAGCAATGCTAATAGGTTTCTGGCAATCAGCAAACACTTAATGAGGTGATACTGTTCAAGTAACTCAACTTAGCAGAATGAGAAAACTCATTCTGATTCTTGAAGGTCCTGTCCAACATTACAATTCTAGGAAAGATAAAACATGTAAAAGCAAGTCAATGAAGGTATAAAATAAATACTGCACTGTTATGAGAACTCAGAAAAGGGAAAAACTGGAAGAAATGTTAAAAGATTGTGAAATACTGTAAATGGAAATTAAGCTGGGTCTTGAAGAATGAATGGCATCTAGAAAACCTAAAGGTACAGGTCTAACTGTAAGCACCTTTCTGCTAGCAGTGGTTCTAGCAATTAATGCCTTTTTTTTATTATTAGGAGGGTACAGTGAGAGAACAGGGAAGTGATGATAAAGACAGCCCTTGGTAAGATCACTCTTTCCTGTGAGGCTCCCTTTGTGCCCTACAGCAGTGGTTTAATACACACAAACAAAAAACTTAGGTTCTATAGTTGGGTCACAGAGACTAAAAAAAATGACTGCATAACTTACAAGCTATGTGACCTCAGGTAAGTCACTAAAGTCCTCTATATTTCAATTTCTTCATCTATAAAACGTATATTAAAATAGGAATGAACAAAAGGCATAAAGTTTCTAGATAGAATGGAGAAAAAAGTTGAGATTTACTGCACCCCAGGGTGACAACGGTCAATAACAGCAGACTATATATTTCAAAATAACTGAGAGTAAATTTCATGTCTCACCACAAAAATAATAGGTAACAAGGTGGTAATTTAATTAGCTTGATTTAATCACACCACATTGTATACATGTCAAAACACACTGTACCCCATAAATATATACAGCTAATGATTTGTCAAAAAATAGGAATGATCTCGAGATGTGATTCACTAGATTTTTCATTAGTAAATTAATGTAAAGCACTTAATAGAGTACATAGCATATAATAAATTCTTAATAAATATCAGGGCTATTTGTTATTATTATTATCACCACAATCACATTATTTAAATAGTAAATATATAAAGAAGAAAATTTCAAACGTATTATTAAAGTCAATAAACTATACTGTTGTGTCGTACTGTAAACATGTTACTTTATAAACCACATTGGAAAGGATTTTAAACCTTATCTAAGTTTTTACTATTATAGGGTAAGTAAAAGCTAATGGCCCAAAGGAATCAGCAGGTAAGGTATACCTCAAATCTATTTTTCTTTTCTTTCTTTTTCTTTTTTTTTTTTTTGAGACAGTCTTGCACTGTTGCCCAGGCTGGAGTGCAGTGGCGTGATCTCAGCTCACTGCAAGCTCCACCTCCCAGGTTCCTGCCATTCTCCTGCCTCAGCCTCCCGAGTAGCTGGGACCACAGGTGCCCGCCACCACACCCGGCTAATTTTTTGTATTTTTATTAGAGACGGGGTTTCACCGTGTTACCCAGAATGGTCTCGATCTCCTGACCTCGTGATCCACCCACCTCAGCCTCTCAAAGTGCTGGGATTACAGGTGTGAGCCACCGTGCCCAGCCTCTCAAATCTATTTTCCAAATGAACAAATGCTCCTTTATAAAAGTGGTTCTCAAAATGCTCAAAAACATTAACCTTCAAAATCACTATTGGTGAGAAGTTAAAGTAAATGCAGATGTGCTCGCTATTTTTTACTATCATTAAAAACTACTCAGTAAAACCTGGCCATGAAATCAATGACTGTAGATTTGAGAGGTTTGTACTGTACAACATAAATGTCTAATCAAACCTAATATAACAGAGTTACTGTCTAAACAGGTGTAGTGACTAGATATGATTTATAATTAGTCTGTAATTTCTACCTAAATGAATATGGTAAAAGGAAATATCAGGTCTGGGATTTAAGAGACCCACATCCTAGCATGTACCAGCTCAGCAATTTTGTGATTTTGGATACGACTCCAACCTCTCTGGCCTTCAGTTTTATCGTTCATAAAGGGCATTAATCTTCTCTCTTTTCCCTTAAGGAATTAACATGATCTACAGTCAGTACAAAGATACATACATTAGTACTGCATTCAAATTCCCTGTCAGTGGATCCAAACCAATGAAGTTGTACTACTGTGGCATTATCTGTGCTCAGTATAATTTAAAAATATTTCCTTCCTTTTTAGATCTAGATTTTTTGGGGGAGAAGGAAGCTTAAATATTTTTATTCATACCAGTCTTCTGATTTGAACCTTCCTAGAAATATCTTAAGTACCAGACATTATTAAAACTTTAGGAATATAACAAATTCATATTCCTACAATTTTCCAAGCAATTATAAACTCTATCATTATGGCAACTGTATGAAACTTTTTAAAAGTATGAGAAATGATACGCTTAAGACTGATAGATGTTTGACTGCTGATCTACATTCTCCAATCTCCACACCTTCTTTATTTCCTGAGCACATAAACTTATGCCAAACACTGCAGTAGCCTATACAACATTATCTCTTTCAATTATTAAAACCTAATGAGCCACTGTGCAGAGTGGCTTATGCCTGTAATTCCAGCTCTGTGGGAGGCCGAGGTAGGAGGCCAGGAGTTTGAGACCAGACTGGGAAATACAGAGACCCCTCATCTCTTAAACAAACAAACAAATAAACCTAATGAAAGGTAGGCTTGAAAGAGTGAAACCCAGCTCCTACATGACTGGACCGAGATCACATCATTAATAAGTGGCAGAACATGGATCTGAACCCAGGATTCCTATAGATAAAACTCATACTCTCCGTTGTATGATGCCAAATTGAAGGCTCAGCTGATTAAAGTCCTTCAAAATGTTATACGTGTGTGTGCATAACAAATGGGCAAAGCGTAGGCAGATAATTACAAGATGCAAGATGAATCATAAAGGCCAAGAAAGGCTAAGTGAAATTAACAAGACAGTTTAATCAATAAGGGACAAATTTTAATGTGAATATTTCACCTACCGTTAGACCCAAAAACGGAGAAAAGGGCTTTACTCCAATATATTTGATAAGTACTTTCCCACAGTACAGAACTATAATTAAG